TATCTCCCTCTCTCTCCCCCTCTCTCTCTCTCTCTCTCTCTCTCTCTCTAGCGCCTGAATTCGTTATTATACCTCCGGATTTTTCCTTCATTATTTCACGGCTTATTATGCCACGTGTTATTCATCTTTTATTTTTCTTCTTTCTTCTTTTTTCTCTCTTATTGTTTGGTTTTGTTATTGTTTTATGTTTTGTTTTGTTTTGTGTTTGGGCGAGGGTGGGCACGCGAAAGTTGCTACGTGCGCGGCGCCTAAGCGTAACAGGGCGTTTGAATCATGGGGCGCGTAAATTCAAATAGCACACCGTTACGAATAATTATCCACACGCTGGGAATTTTGCATGTAAGATGTATAATGTTAATTCGGTGGTCGTGTAAGATTTACGGGACGATAGCTGCAGCTCGATAGTTGTAAATGCGACTATTTAGTGGGTGGTCGTTTAGTAGTAGGGGAGGAAGTGCGCGTGTCCGATTAATAGATTCACGGTATATTTGTGATACCTGCGCTGCTCCGACTACGATTTATATTAGCGCATGTGGCCGCTGCTACGTAACGTAGCTTTATTTATAAAATCAGATGAAAGTGGGGTCGTTGCACTAATAAAGCATCGGTCAGGCCTGCGCATATTTAAAGCCGGAAATGCAGATGTTATAAACGTTTTCGGGTTTATAAGTCAAAAAGGCGTCAAAAGGCGTGAATTATCGGTTTACTTTTTGAGGAGGAGAGTGTGGCCTTTCAACTGCTTTCATTATTATCATCTGCAGCGCGTAATTGATTATTCAATTATGTCGTTTGATTTATTAGCCTTTTATAGAAGAGCCTTAATGGGCGATGGTTAACAAACATTTCTACTTGCATTGGACAGGCGATAAGCTAGCGAATCGTAAAGGTTGCGTATCATAATAATAATGCATCGGATGAGTGGCTCGAAGCTCTTTTCAAGCGATTATCGGCTTTAATTTGGCGGCACTCTCGTGTACATTCTCAAGAAGTTAATACGTTGAATGCTTGAAGTAACGTGTGACGAAGGCAAATAAATATCTTAAATAGAGATGAACTTTATTTAATGCCTTACGATTACGAAACACGTTTGCACAGACCAATAACGGAAAGAAAATTCCACGATTCGCTTTGAAGTCGACGCGCTTCCGTCAAAGGTAAAAGAGCGATAGAGCCATGGGAAATAGCTGCGCGGGATTTGAAGAGGGTTTGGTGTGAGAGACAGGGACGTTGAGTGGGAAATGTGGTGCGGGGGTGCGAGGAAGGGCAAAACGAAACTGAGATAAGCTGGCATCGAGAGCATTACACGTCGCGGGCGACATTCATCCTCGTCGTCGACGTCGTCGTCCTCCTCCTCCTCCAATTCCTCATACTGCCCCTCATACTCGTCCTCAACGCGACTCTATACTTAGCGTTTCGTGGAAAGAGCGACGATATGGTGGCTCTTTAAAGTGGCGGAGGCAGCCACGTCTCTTTCGTTCGTCGATGCTTCTCTCACTCGTCATCATACGAAGTCAAGCTCCGGAGTCTTGCCAATAAGTTAGCAAAGCTCTCGGCTTAAATACCCGGAGAGATATCGCCTCCCACCTCGCTCCCCCCTGACTGCTCTACCACCCCAACCATCCCATAAGTCGCTATATGGGTCTATACAGGCACGCGCACTCGCGCACGCGCGCTCGACAGGCAATTCGTATATGCCGATACTTTTATGATTTCCGGGCGCCGACCTCTCTCCTTCGTCGTTCCTTACGCGGCCGACACTCGCGACACTCTCGAATTCTAGGTATTATTTACATTAGTTCGAGAATCGCTTTCTACATGGCGTCTGCCTATATATTTAGGTGTAGGAGGGTGTGCGCGCGTGTATTGGGACGTCGCGCGGG